CATCTTATGATTAATAGGTTAGCCTGATGACTATCAGTTTGTGGCTTTTGTTCCATTTATATCATTTAGGAAACTAATCTGCATTACACCCTAAGTAGAACCTCCATTTTTAACATAATTTTTTTTCCCTTTGCCGAACACCAACTTCAGTTGGTGTTTTCCTACTATTCACTGCGTAAATGTGTCTGTGTGTGAATGTGTTGCACAGTAGAAATCTAGAAAAAGGCCACTTGGTGAAGGATGTAGCATGTCATGCAGAGCTTTAATCCAAGAGAGATCACCAGTTTCAAAACCTTATGAGCTTGCTTAGATTTCCCAGCTCTTTTATGCCCAGTTATGAAATAAGTTACCCTTTCTTAGAAATTGAGCATTGCTAGGGTGTGGATTTCATACTGGAAGCTTGTGAAAAATAAAATAGTCACCAATAGGTGAGTAAAAGCCATTAGAATGCTCAAATAAGGAAATAATTGTTTAGAGCTTTCCAGTTATATCATGTTATTGGAATGTTATTGGAATTTATCATGTATTTGGAATGAAAATATCAAAGAACCATGCAGACATGAAAATTACAAACTTGGAAGACATTTGGGGGATAATGGTCCCTGTGTTCTGGTGTTTACTGGTGTGAATAACGTGTAAGAGCTTAATGGGAGTAAAATATATCAATAAATCAGGAACTGCAACTGTATATATATTACAATTTTAAATTCATTTCGTAGCTGAAAAAGCTGGGTTTTTTTTATAAAAATGCATTTTCTATAATTTTTCACTGTATCTTTGCATGAGTTTTAGAGATATAGTGTTTATTATAATATTTTTTTAAGGGATGTGTGTCCACCAGTAGTGGAAATAACAAACTGAGAGAATCCATGCAGATGGAGCTAATTAGCCGTGGGATCCAACTAGGAGAAAAATCACAGTCATGGTTTTACAAATTCACTGTTTATTATCTCTGCATGCATCTTAAGGACTTACTGCCTGATGGGGCTCCAGGTGTGTTCTATTGGGTTGGTAGGGAAAGGAGATCAGTCTGCATGGTAGACAGAAAGGGGACTCAGAGGAACAGGACTCAAAAAGTAGAAAGTAATTGCATCAGCAGGGAACTGTGATCAGAAGGTGTGTGGAGCAGAAGCCCATTTTCCTACACAGTGTGCAAGGGTGATGTGATACCTAGTTCCAAGCCTCTTCAAATTGGAGATCTTGGGTCCTCCCTGTTGGGTGCTTTCAGGTCAAGTTTACCTTTGTGTTCAACCGACAAAAAAAGCCCCTCACTGCTTAGAAAGCTGACACTCTTTGCTCAAGGTTCACACACAGCCGTGAGTGCAGAAATGAGTGGGGAAGGAAGAGATCATGGCGGGCTTAAGACACATTGGTGTTTGTTAACACAACATGTGTCTGTTTTAAACACAGTATAAGTCTTGTGGAAAAGGCCATGTGGTTAAACATTATTTAAGGACTTTTCTTAAAGTCAGTAGGATAGTCTAGACTGAGCTTTAATTTTCTTGAATCCTGACTTTTTTTCTGTCTCATTTGAACTGAATTTTAATTATATAACAAAATAAGAACTCATATTTTTTCTAATAAAGATGTTTCACTTTTTTTTCCCTCTCTACATCAAGAAAAAAATGGTATTTTAGATATGTGTGTGCTGTGCTTAAGACAGATGCAATGAGTTAAGCAGTTTCATATTTTCTGCTATTCCTTCTGCTTCAGTTTTAGGCAACTTTGTAATGGCATTTCTCATGTCAGAGACATTTTTTAAATGCTCTGTTTTGCTTTCCTGAGCACATGATGTGTGGCTCACAAGAGCAGTTAAAATGATCCTTTCCTATCTCACATTTTTAAAAATTGCGATAAAATAAATTCAGATTTCTTTTTTCTTTAGACATAATCTTTGTTATTGATGTTTGGTGAGAGGTGCTAAAGCAGAAGAGAGATTGTAGTCTTTGCCCCAGCTTGAACGAACCAAACACAGCTTTAAATATGAAGTTTGCACAGGCTGAAACTTTTGTTTCATAGAACATACTTAAAGATAGTTTGAATATACCCTTGAATAACTTTGTGAATATCTTTAAGCATACTTAAAGATATTCAAATATATCTCTTGTAGAAAAAAATTAACCCACTAATTATCCAAATATATTGAGGTCACTTCATATATGATTTAAGAATCAAAGATTAAATTTCCCTCTTGCCTTGTTTACAGGTGTAAACTTAAAATTGTTGCCCTTCATGTTGTAGGAAATGATTAAAAATCACCTCATCTGAGAGCATCTGGAAGAAACACAGCACTAGAAAAAACCATTAGTTTTGAAGCCCTTGAATTATCTGGAATCTCCAAAACTTTACATTATTGATGCCTGTGTTGATTTTCAGATTATTCTTTCAATTGTCATCAGTTTGTAGAAGCTGCTGCACAGTAAGATTAACAAACAATTTCTAAAATGTTAAATAATGCATTACTATTTTCTATTTTTAAAATACATTACATTTTTAAAATTTACATTAGTAAATAAATTATTAATGATTAGAAAACATTTATTAAAAAAGAGGGAAAAAGAAATCTTCACTTTCTTAGCAGAAATATCCAAAAACATTTTGAATATATAATTCCGACAAATAATACAATCTCTCAGAAGAAATGGTCATTTCTAAACTTGTGTTAAAGATTTTGTTGTGCTCTTAGAAGTTTCTTGCCTCAGGAGCTCTTTTCTTGTGTTTTCCCTTACAGATGTCTCAGTAAATACTTTAGTACAGCAGTTAAGCTGTAAATAAGATTGCTCAGATGAAGAAACTGTTTACACCGAAGTATAGCTCAGAAAATTGTTCAGAAATGCAAGATGGGTCACACTTACTTCCCACCCTCTGGACTTTTATCTAATAAACTGGATGCAGAAAGAAGCCCTTAACATTTCCTATATATATATATATATTTTTTTTTTTAAATATAGCTATTATCTGGGGCTGTTGCCCTAAATTGCCTTGATAGGACAGCAGAAAAGTGTGCAGTGCAGAAAAACCTCTAATCTCCTCAATCTCGAACACTGAATTGCATATGCACATTGATAAGCCTTTGGTGTACTGGATGTACTTATATTTAAAGCAAGAATTTATCTCCTTTTCTGTTAAAGCTTTAGTGGCTTCACAGACACTAATGGGCAATAAATTAGCAAATACTTTTTCTGACTTTGATAACTACACCTTGGAGTTTGTGACATAAATGAGAATGAGCAGTTTCAAAATACTCGTGGTGCAAATATCTTTGTCTTTCTTATCTCTATGAAATAAATCTTCTTGAATGTATTCTGTATGTGACTGGTGTTGCCATGCTGACCTTGAAATGTGGCTAGTAACCATCTCTAAAAGGCACCTCTGGAGTTAAACTCATTGCCTTGCTCATTATGAACCATGTGAAATTATGCTATATTCCCTTCTTAGCTGTATTATTGAAAATTTCATAACATTTTTGTAGCTTTAAGAATGCAGGAATAAGACTACTTCATGAGGTAATCTAAATCATTATATCTCTGATTTCACTTATATGTTCTCTTCAGCCTGAGGACCTGGTTCAAGGAAAACATTCTTAAACCATGAACCAGTTATAACCTGCAAGACCTCAGTCCATGAACCAGATACCTGCCAATTTGTGTCTAGGTCATTTTGTGTTATGGTTTTGCACTAAATCCTAAAAAAAAAAATGCAGAATCAAATGATTCTGTGCCCAAAAACTGAGAAATTCCTCAGAGATTTCATTAATTTAGGATTTTCATTAATTAACTCTACTAGGTCAAAGGGAGGTAGAAGCCAAGGTCAAAGTGGTGGAATTCGTATAGGTTTATTACTAGCAAAGTACAGATTATCCAGTATGGGAAACGATCATAGCAGCCTGTCTAGCTTCCAGCTGCAGAAGACTGCATAAAAATTCTCTACTAATGAAACCTGGCAAATTATTATTCTTCAGACCCAGAGCATTAGAACTTGGGATTTGATCAAAATCTTTTCTGATACCCCAAAGGAGTGATCCAGCATGATTTTCTCTATGTGCTGAACCTCTCTCTCGTTCTCTTTTGGCCCCGGTGGAGAGGAAAAAGACTGTCTTAGTGTAGCCTACCAACAGAACTTCTAGGGAGAAATGCAAATCAATCTCTTTTCTTCCCCTAAAGCTATCTTGCTGTAAAACACCAGCCTTAATGGTTGGCTGCATTCTTTTCTGACTCTGTAAAAGTTACATGAGTAGTTCTCACTAATATTAGTAGAAACAGGGTGCATAGCTTGAGGACAGATTATAGTCTTTGTCTTGTAGGACATGAAAATAATTGAGACTTTGTTGTCAAGACCTGAGGTTTTTTCCGAGTGCTAATGTGTTTTGGCAAGACACGTCAAAAGTACATCTCATACTGAAAGACAAGCATCCTGGAATGTTAGATGGGAGCATACAAAATACACAAGCCACCAAGCAATTCATATCACTTTTGTGATCTCCACCATAGCCCAAAAGACCTTTTATTCAAGTGTGTTCAGCATTTTTCAGTTGCTAAAAAAATGGTTATCCTTGAGGATGACATTCATCATCTGTGATAAGTAGCTATCACTAAAAGAGCTTAAATCACATTTTAAAATAAAATAATTATTGATTTTTTTATTTCAAAAAAAGTGAGTAAATTTTATGGACAAAAATAACATCCTTTTTTTTCATTTAGCAAAATAGCAATATTTGTACAGTTTAAAGATCAGTGTGTGTGGATCAAGCCCCTTTTTAAATCAGGGAGTGATAAATGTTTTAGACATTTTGTTTACTCCTTGAAAAGAATGATGTATTCATTGGTTTAACTCTATGTATGTACATCTCTTACTACCATGTTTTTTGCTTCTGTATAAGAATATTCATCTGGTATTTATGATGAAGAAGAAAACCAAACAGCATTATTCTGAATTCCTGGTGCTGTGCCCAGGAATTAAGAAATCACTGTCTCTGATTCTGTTCATTCTTTGTCAAGCAGATATTATTTTAAATTTCCGAACAACATATGTCAGCAAGTCTGGCCAAGTAATATTTGAAGCAAGATCTATTTGTATCCACTATGTGACTACGTGGTTTATCATTGACTTAATTGCTGCACTTCCTTTTGATCTTCTTTATGCTTTCAACGTCACTGTGGTAAGTACTAACTTGCCTTCTCAATTGTTCTCTTTTTTCAAGAGGGGTTTGTTGATGTGGTTTTTTTTCCCCAGATCTGGAGACTGAAACTGAATTAACTAAAATAACTAGGTGTCTTTTACAGCTTTGTGGTGTATTTTCACTCTGGATCCAACAATTTTTAATTCAATTATCTTTACTTTGTAAACAGTTGCATCTATGTTAACTTCATGTCTAATTACTTTACTCAAACACAGTTTGCTATGATTTTTGTTCTCTTATGGTTCATAAATTCAGTCCTTAATTTTTCAAGACTCATACACTTTTACTGTAGTAAAGTAAATCATTGTTATGGTCAACATGTTTATTTAGTCAGGAATCCTCTTTCTCTTCCCTTGTGGGAATTTTCATTAAAAAATTACAGCATGACTATTAATTTTTTGTATGTTCTAACATGTACTGTTTACAATTGTCACTTACTTTGACTTTAGTTTCAACTCATCTTTTTTTTTTTTAGGTATGTAATGACAAAAAGCTTAATCTGCTTTGAAAATGTTTGTTCTAAAATTAGGTGATGTCACAATCATGATGGATTATATTTGTGTTGGCTTACTTATGTTAAGACAAAGGTTTTTATTCTGCTAGCCCTATTGGATTTTGTAGAGTAGGGATCTACAAAGTGAAATTGCAATAAGCAAATAAGCAAACAATCCCTCCCCAGAAATGCACCCTCTGAATCAAAAAGTTCAGTTTAAGAAAAAAAAAAACAGCAGGTGTTTCTTAATTTTGTGGATTTTTGTCATAAAAACCTAAGGTTATCAGCTGTCCACTTTCTAATTCCCATAATTTTGATATTTCATAAACAGATGCACTCAATCTCAATTTCATTACAAGTGAGTTGCAGACAAGTACAGAGATGATAGGATAAACACATACCAAAAAACACCCCAACAAACAGAAAAGAACTAGCCAGGAAGGGTCCCATACAAGGTGTCATGCTTGATTTTATAATTTATTTTCATTTCCTTCAATGAACTCTCTTTTCATGTAATTTATTACATAAAGAACCATCAATCAAATGCTAGTGAAGATACTTTTTAGAACCTGATAGTTAGTTTCACATTGTCCACTGTTTCCTTATAAGAAGTGGGTAATCTATTTCAAAACATTACTATCTCAGTTTATCCCTTGCACTCCAACCAAACAGCCAACATAATAATGTTGGCTTAATTTCTATTAATAACTTTCATTAAATTAACCATGTTTACTTTTACAGTCAAAGAAAAAATTAAAAAACCTGAAAACAAATTTTTGTCCCAAGTGGAAGGACTGATAAGATTTCTGTACTTAATTCTGGAAAAGAAAGTATTATCCAATGATTATTTTTACAGTTAAAATATCACGTTATTAAAAATGCTGCCATAATATGATTAATACACATCTCCTGTCGTACTTTTAAGCTTTTTCCCTTAATGAGACCTCTGTGTGATTCCTTGATGGGAACACATTGCCTTACTGTATCATATCTCCTGTCGTGACAAGACTTGGCAACTGTTAATATAAACCTCAAGATAACAATGACTTATCAGCTGTCTCAAAACACAGGGAGGTGTTAATCCACTACACTGTTTCCAGACTTCATGATTTAATAAGCCATTTCCTCATGTCTGTTCTCAGATTTTCACTTCATCGACTTTCAGATGTTGCCTCAACAGAACGGTGAGAAGGGGCATCAGGGAGCATCTCACCCCTTTGCTGCTCAGGCCTCGGCACAAGGGCCAAACCTTTAGGGACGCTCTAAATTCTGCAAGCATAGGTATAGTGCCATACATACCTGTGTGTGTATGTATGGCACAGATTTGTCACACCCCAGCTGGAGACTGATGGAGCCAAAGTGCATGTAAATGCTGTGGAGTCGTTTGCTGGTTTTGTATATATTTTGAAAGAAACAAAAGTTGAACTGTATGAGTTGGCTCTACTGCCTTTACACCTTACCTGGATTCTGCCCTAATGTTAAAATCAGGGACTCTTGGGACATCTGAGACCACAGACACATTCCTGCCTGTCTTCAGCTCCTTCCATCCCTTTGTTCATCTGACATGAAGGTTCTCTTAATAAAGGGAAATATGTTTTCAAATGTTGACATGAAAAACAGGCCATTGAGCCCTAGCTAGAATGATTGAATTTCTCCTTTTTGAATAGCTATCAATGGTTTTAGGGCAATAGTATCATTATTTGAGGCAAAGCAAATAACCAGGTGGACAAAAAATGACTAAAATCTCTCCCACCAGTCATTTCTTAAAATGTATATCCCATTTCTTCATTAATTCATTTTTTGTGTAGGAGATGATTCTTCCAAGCAGAGAACTTCATTATTGGTTTGTAGCAACTTTATTTGTTGTCAGTAGTTCTCAGGACTATGCTGATTGAGTTTGTGTTAGTCTCAAATAAAATTCTGTCCCTGTCCTTTTGACAGAAAAAGGTTAACCCAGCTAGTCTAAAACTATTAACAAAATGAAAAATTTTGATGATTTTATATCTATGGGCAAAGAAAAATCTTTCCAGGCACAAGTATGGGTGCTGACTCTTTATTTTGTCTTCCTAAATTTGTGACATAGAAAAAGAAGCTGCCTGATGGCATTTTAGATCTTTCAATGACATATTGGGCACAATACCAGAGGAGCATTTGGCATGACTAATGAGAAAATTCAGTGCAATAATACATGATTAATTACATCTGTGTTCAATTTTATGAAGAAATTATTTTGAAAATGGGGCAGTCCTTAGGCCTTAAAATTAAACCTGCTTCCACATTAAAAAGAATATTATGATATATGATTCATGTCTCTGTAGCTTAACAAAAATGGTCAGAATTTAGGGAAGACTGATAACTGGCAGGGCACACAGAATTATAACAGTCCTTTTGCCATTTCTTGTTTGTAGGAATCTTAAAAAAAATGAAATAATTTCACCAAAGCTATCATTATTTATTTGTGATGTTTTACAGCCTAGGCTCCCATGGGAAGATGAAGGCTCCAATGTGTAGGGCATAGCACATATACAATCATTATATAAATCCACATTATACAATTGTTTGTATGTTACTGCTACACCTTGAAGAGTCAGTCATGAATTTATGTTTAAGTGCATTTATGTTATAAGTGCAATAGAGCCATGTTTGATTCAAACAAGCTGATGAGAGAGAAGAAAAGGAGACTTTGTGAAATTAATTACCACTGGAACAGAGGCAGTTGGTAGAGTTTCATGGCAGTTAAAGAATAACTATAAATTAAAGCTATATGACTGTAATAATAATATAAACCTGGCAATTACTTCAAGTATTTTGCAGCCTTCTGCCCTAGATTTGCAGATATTCTTGGGCTTAAGGCCACAGACATAACTAATTCCCTGGCACTGTAGATGGAGAATGCCATGGAAATGAAATGCAAGAAACAACCTTGTAAATATTTGTGTGTTCAAATGTCAGACCTTATTTTAACAATGTTTTTTGAAAAATGCCATATTTTTTGTTGATTTTTTTTTCCTTTCTATGTACATGAAAAAAATGTAAAGGTTCTTGAGAAAAAAAACCCCACATTAAATAATGGGCTGCAAATATTGTCCTTTGAAGAGGCTCATGGGAGAATTACTTATGCACTACCAAAACTGTAGTGGCAAAAAACAAAATGCTTGTAGGTTCCTTATTTTCTTCTTTACAGGTTTCTCATATACTTAATTCCTGAGAGTGGAATATAATCAATGTGTTGTTAAATCTTTTAAATAATCAAAAACACCTGATGTTACAAAATATGTCAGTCACCTCAGATCTAGCTGTTGGTGAATGCACACCAATAAAATTTAGATTTCACATTGTTATCTATGGTAACAGAAAGGCTGAGCATCAGGATATTCTGGATTAGAAAAAGCAAAAGGATATTGATTGAGCTGTGTTTTTAGACTTGCTTTTGGGAGAGCTCTTTACTGTGCTCTGGGAGTGCTGTGGCAAGACACATAAAGTCTGATGCTATGTGAAGCATAGCATCCAGCTGATGTGGGTATCCTGTATCAAGCAGGCCTTAATCCTACTGTCTCATTAATGGAGGAAGCAAAAAAATGCTTACTGTTAATAAAAATTATGTCTATTTAATCTTAGACAAATACATTAAAACTGTTTGGATCCTAATCTGTATATTGTTTGCTAACTCTGCCCAACAGCTGAAGCACAAGCCAAGTACATTCACAGCAAAACTGTGGGCTGTGCACAATATGGTATGGATGTCAGTTGCAGGATGCTCTGGAAGGGTTGGGGTCATCCAGAGACTGTTCACTTTATGCTGGAACTCCCCTAAAGCCAGAGCCATGCACTTCATAAACTGATGTATACTCAGGGTGCTGAGCAGATTAGGTGCTGCTTTTGCCACATAAACTTGAAAGGCAATAATATTTTATTTAAGGAATTTAAGAAGCAGTATTAGAAGTTTTAATGAAAGCTTTTTTGGACTACTACTTAGTCCAGAGCAATAAAATATGACAAGGTCCCTGAACACAGGGTTAAATCTCAAGAAAAAATCTGAGGCTTCTCTAACTTCTCTGCTCTATTGTTCTGCAAAATATCTGCTATTTGTTATTGCCTCTTCCATGCAAAATTATAGGCTGGTTTCATCTCATACACAGTTAAATTAGTTCTGCTGTTAGCTGAAAATCATTGTGTGTTTGGAGATACTCTTTTTGTGATTTCATATTGCAATCAAACAATTTTTGGTTAGTTTGACAATTGTGTTTTTCTTCTAGAGCTGGGAAGAATCAATTTTTCACAAGGACAAATTTTTAAGATAAATCTGAAAGAAAACTGCATGAAAAAAGGATAACATGAAAGATCTCCTAGTATTTCAAGTTTGCTTGGTTTATATCAGAAATAGTAATTGTGTATTTACACATCAAAATTTCATACTTCTTTTTTTAACATCTTCTTTGCTGTTCTCTGCTGTCTTAAGATTTAGTCCAGTCAGATGTGCAGCTGCATGAGGAGTGGGCAACATTTCACAGAGCTTTAGAATTTCCTTTCTTGAAACAAGAGGTCTGTGTGATAGAAGCAAGCTGCTGCCAAGGTGTTTGGGTGCTGACAAGTGGTTTTCTCTCCCCATTCCCCCAGGTTTCCCTTGTCCACCTTCTGAAAACCGTGCGGCTGCTGCGGCTGCTGCGCCTCCTGCAGAAGCTGGATCGCTACTCCCAGCACAGCACCATCGTCCTCACGCTCCTCATGTCCATGTTTGCCTTGCTTGCTCACTGGATGGCCTGCATCTGGTATGTCATAGGGAAAAGGGAGATGGAGCAGAACAACCCCCTTACTTGGGACATAGGTAAGTTCTTCCTTCCCACATGGACATATACACACATATGTATATATCCATAAATGTGTGCAAATATATAAAAATGCATCTATAACTCACTCAAAATTTCAGGTTTTGCTCAGTCTTATACCATTATTTAGTGTTGTTTGTACAGAAAAGGAAGAGACTGGCAGTCTCTGAATTTCTGATCAATCTGAAGAAGAGGGTTAAAATAAAAATCAGTTGGAAAAAATACAAGATGATTTTAGATTTTTAAGAGTGATTCAAAGTTGGGAAAATTCAGAATCTGTATAGGAAATGACTAGGCAGACTGCGTAGACAACTATATTAGACAACTCATCCTGGTTTTGCAAATTAGGAAAATTCATCAGTCAAAACATTCCCTCAAGTGTGCAGATTATTTCTTCCTATGCATTGAAACAGATAGGCCCTGAAATGTCTTCAAGTTAAAAACTTCCTTTGAAATTACTGTTTAGAGGATCTGCAGGCTTAGATTTTTCAGAGCAGATGTTTATCAATGTTTATCATGGTTATCAATGGAATGCCTAGTTTTGGTCCAATCTTTAGTTTCTATCCCAGCCTTCATTGTGATCTGCGTGTTCTACATCAACTCTTCAGCTTTTAAGCTTTTAATTTTTTGTAATGCAACATCTTCCATAAACAAAGTTTATCTAAAGGCAAAACAGTTCCCCGAGAGAAAAAATATTTGGTGTGGGGAAAATAATGCAAACACCTGTGACCAAAAGCTCAGTGATATGCATTCAAACTGTGGACTGCCCTATTTTTATCTCCTTTAGATTCTTTGGTTTTTCTTACCCCCACTATCATCTGTCTAAATATCACCTAATTATGATAAATATGAGGGAAAAATAACAATCATGTAAAAGTGCTCAACCTCAGAGAAGTCAGGATGCTGGGTCAGGAAGAGAAAAAGAAGAAAGTTCAGGAAATATGTGTTTCTAGTTTTTCAATAGGTGACTCAAAGACTTGGGGAGTCTTCTTATTCTTCTAAGTGGATTGTTGATTTGTCATTTCATTTGTAAACCAGGTCGGTGACCTGCTGCTGAAATCCTTATAGAGAGCAAACTTCTGACAGAAAAGACTGCAGCTTTAGGGGAGAATATACAAAGAAAGCCCACTGTGCAAAAATTGGTCAAATACTGCAAACAGAGAAACAAATCCAGATAATAATAATAATGATAATAATGTCTCTCTGGTGAGAAGCAGCTCTGAAGGCACTTTGTCAGCTTATGTAGGCCACAAACAATAGCTGCTTTCAAAGCATTCATTGCAGTCCAAATGATGATGGTGGGCTGCATCCTTGCTCCCTGGGTAGGGCTGCTGGCCGTGCTCCCCATGCTCCCTTTTCCCTGAGGCAAGGCCATGTTCAGAAAACACTCCTCATGGGGCTCTTGGCATTTATTACTATGAAAACATTAACTTTCACCCATCAGTTTTGTCCTTTCTTGGGCAAGAGCAGTAATAACCAAATGTCCCAACAGCCTCACTAGAACCAATCCCAGTTCAACTGGAACAGAGACATTTCCCAGAAGTCCCATTTGTGTCTCAGTGCAGGGATTGTATCTGGGTTATCACAAACTGATCATCCTCCAGTGGGCTTCCCAGGCTGGAATTGCTCCTTTACAGCCCCTCACCACCAACTTACCTCAACCTGTGACAATCAGGGACATTCCCTGGACAGCTGTAGGCAGTGCATTTCCACATTGGATGGGCCAAAGTGCTTAGTGGTGCATGCTCTCAGACTTTCACCTTCTACATGGAAAAAGGGCTTTTCTTGAGCTTACAGATAGGTAGGCATTCTTCTAGGCTTTTTCTTTCCTAAAGGTATGAGTTTGCATTTTTGCCTGGATGGCTGTTCCACCACCTTCGTGGTGGTGGATGGTCTCTAAAATATTTAGATGCTATAAATTTATAATAAAAATGACACTGCAATGACTCCTGTAATGCTCCTACAGATATTAGTTCTAGAGCTAAGTTAAATAATTTTCAGCTTTGGGGATTTGTTTGGATTTTTTTTGTTTGTTTGGTGGGGGTTTTTTAAAATGAAATGGTTTTAAAATGTTAAAGGCTTAAAATGTTAAAATATTAGATACTGGTTGAAAGAAAAGAGCTGAGAAAATTCCAGATATCTGTCATGAAGCAGTTGTTTTGCAAGGACCACTCCAGCACTGACAAAATTTCTGGTTAAGCTTATGCGCCACATATAAGAGCACAAAAATTTATGTTATGTTATTTTTTCAATCAGTACAAATTCTACTGCTCTCCACATGCAAACTACTTGCTGATGCAACACAATGAAATTAAGTCTTGGTCCTCTGTGTACCTTTTGCTATGCTGGTGATTGTATGTAGCCAACCTTTCTTTTTGTCATTTAAGAAAACTTCAAATGACAAGTTCACTACACCTCATAGCATCCACACTGGGGATAATTTGAGGGGAGAATAGTAGTTGTAATTTAGAGTATAAGTGATTAAGCAAAGTAAAATGAGGTCTGGAAATCATAATAAATCATAAGCAAATAATGTACACAGGAGAAATCTTGCTTGGAGTATAATTAAGGTAGTATTACTGTAAGGCACTGAGGATATTCTGCTCTCCTAAAGGAAGACCTCAACTGAAAAATTTGTGCTGTTTTGAAGAGCATATAAAAGAGGTTTCTTACTGCAGGCAAAGCAGTAGAATATGATCCTTACTCTTATACTTCAAGGTTTTAATTTTTTAACTTTTAATTTCTATATACCAGAACTGGAGACTCAAGCTTCCATCAGTGCATCATATACAGAGCTTATTTCAGCCTTTGAGAGGCTTTCTAATGGCAAACACTAAAAAATACCATACAAAAATTATAATTCAAAATTAATTTTTTTAATTAAAGGAAATGTGTCTCTTCCTTGGAAATTCTATTTTTTATTCTTCGCTGGAATGTCTCAGGTGATGTCCACTTGAAAACAGTATGGCACCATGAGTATGGATGCTACAATGTATGGAATAGCTGAAATATAGGGATGGGTTTGTTCTAAGAAAGGAAAATCATGTCTGGAATGAAAAGAAGATTAATTTGCTTTTTATGTTTGCCGCTGTTTTTGGGGGGTAGAGGCAGAGGGAGAAAAAATCTATTAGCTTTTACTGACACCATTTAGTGCTTCCTCAGACAACCTATAGCACAGATTTTAAGACTGAGGTTTGCTAACACCTAAAGCAAACATTTTAAAGCTGCAGTACTGTTAACATAATACTTTGAACCTTGCTGTGCCATCAGATATGCGCCATGGCCTACATCTAGCAGCATTTGCTTCGTGTATCTATTTCTCTTGCTAATTTAAACAACTGTGGTGCTTAATTTGCATTTGAATAGGGGCAATGGGAGTGATAACATTGTTCCTATGAAAATACCCAGAACAGAAAATGGCATTTGCTTTGTTCTTCCTGGACCTAATCGTAAGCCTTTATTTCACTTTTTGTCCTTATTCAGCCAACATTCCCATGGCAAACAATTTTAAAACGTAGTTACATTCACAAATTTAGCCACTTGGTTGTACGGTGAGAAAGGTGAAATGTCTGGGTCTCTTACTGATGAACTGTCCTGACATGGGGGCATTGGGACATAGTGTTAAAAACTGGATCTCTTCTTAGCTCTCGTAATGCTAGATTTAGCTGATTACATTATTTGGAAGATATACACCATGGGCACTGCTTTTAGATGCTGGAAACCTTTACCTCAGCAAGTTCTCCCATCTTAGGAAAGAGTTGTTCCGTGTGCAGCATTTTGACTCTAATGTCTGACAAAATCACAACTCCTGGACATATAATTCCCATCCATTGGAGACTGTGATACTGTTCTTGTCCTGCTTTTCCCTTTCGGCATTTTCAGATTCCTCTCTGTTACATTTCAACTTGCTCCCCTCATTTGTTTTCACTGGTGAAACAGATGTCTCAGGGGACATGGCATGATCCCCACCAACCTGTAAAAAAATAAATTTTCTGTTCGCTGATACTGAGTAGAGGCTAGACTGTGTTTAGGTTCCTGGCTGATACTAACAATCCAGTTCCACTGGCTCCCATTTCTGTAGTTTAATTGGCATCAGATTTAGGCATGGGCTCTTTATTTGCTGATTGCTTTTTTGTATTAATATATACTGAGCTATACACTATGCACTTTAAAGATCTTATTAAACATGAGAAAATTATTTTTCTACCTGACTCTAGAGGAAACAGAAAATATTGAAAATATTTCCTGTTGCTGAAGGCATTCATTCTGTGAGAACCATGTGAGCTGTTGAAACTCAGCTGTCTTGAGTGTAGCAAGGAGATTAGGACAGGGCCAAGAGTCAGGATGCTGGCTCCCTTAGATAATCAAAACTGTCAAGTGTAATTTGTGCCACTGTCTCAAAAAACATTCCTTCCTGTCCACCAGAAATTTAGCTGCAACTTTTTATTATTCCTACAGTAACACAACATTCTGGCTATGGATGGGATTGTTATCAATGTAAAATACAGTAAAAAAATAACTGTGTTTTTTATAGTTAATAAATATTTTCTTTGGAATAAGCTTTAAAATCAGTCCTGTAAAGGGCATTGTTCTTCAGCTGTTTAAATCTTTATTTCAGTTGAATACCTCAATTTTCATCCCAGGTTTTTACTCATTTTATATTAGTTTTTTAATGTGCAGCACTTTTGAAAACAAGAACTCAATTGTACCACATACGCTGCAGTATAAAGCTTCCCACACACACTTTGTTTATCACTCTCTTGCAGTCAGAGCCTTTGAAAGGATTTGGATGCTGACTCCCAGTGAACACTCACAATTAGCTGTCAGTGGCAAGGTGCAGGAAAAGGTGCTCAGTACCTGAGTAGTGCCAGTAGGAAAGGCTGAAAATAAGACTGTGCCTTCAGGGTTTTTCTGTCAGGTGTTATGTGTCCCACGTTGGACTGAAGTAAACAGCTTTAATTCAAGATACTGTCTTCCCCACTGAGTTCTTCAGTAAATT